AAAAAGTACAATTGTACTTACCTCTATAAATTTGAAAAGTCAAAAGGATAAATTGGAAAATGTAGAATGATAGTTATGTTTAATTTTGGAAAGATTGACAATATTTTGGGACAAACTAAAAAGGAAAGTAAGACATAAAATGGAAAGATTGACAATATTTTGAGACATATTTTGCAGTAGTATTTTCACACAGTACAAAACGAAAGGAATTCCAGTAGCTTTCAGCTTCCCAAAACTCTGTTTCTACTCTCTCTTTACCAACTAGTGTTCTCTACTTTGCTTTGTTTGCCGGGTTCCTTGTTTAGGTGCTTAAACAAGGAATCGTAGCACGTTTTATCCTGGGAAACTTAGGCTACAACGCTCCTAGCACTTGTGGGAGGTAGCAAATAAGGTTTTAAGGAAAAGAACCTTGTGTTCAAACTCGTGCTAAACCTATACCCAAACACTCAACCTTTTCCTTCCCAATTTTCTGTTTTCCCATATAATATTAATCTTTCCATAGAATTATTATTATTTTGGGATTTTTCAACTTATTACCCAACATTATATATATATATATATATATATATATATATATATATATATATATATATATATTATTGTTAAGATGATAGAATTTGTTGGTAGCAATAAATAGATGGAAATTAGAGATGGAGTATGAAAAAGGAAGAAAGAGCAATGAGATGTGAAACTGCAGGCGCAAGAAAGTAGGCATAGGGTAGGGTGGGGGCAGTGGATGGAAGTAGACAAGAAGGATGGTCAGAGAGTTGGAACAGATCAGATCAGAAGAATAAATACTGAGTTTGGACTTATTGGATGCATAACCACTCTACCCTACCCTCTTCCACCAATCCATTTCCATATTTTCAATACTTCATTATTACGGACTTTGTTTTTTCTCTATCCAAAATAAAAATAATGTTTTGTGTAAATTATAATTTGTTTAAAAAAAAAAAAAGGAGGAGGGGGTCCGTAAGTGTAAAGTATAATCATTCCCTTCTGAAATATCAGAGTCACAGGAATTTCCATCATTCCATTCTCTGCCAATACCTCCCATCCATAAAGTCTCTTTTTCTTTTTGCCTCCTTTCCTAATCCCAACAAAACTCCTCTCTGCCCCACCATCCCTATCCCCGCCCTAGCTTCATCATTTCTTCCTCTTTTTCTTTCTAATTCCTATATGTTTTTTTTTTTAATGCAATTCCTATATGCATTCTTGTAAAGTTATTTTACGAACCAAAAAAAAAAATATTGACATATGAAGGAGTGTTACCTTATAGTTATTAGTTACCATATTTTTATACAATTAATTAATAATATCAACTAGTTAAATTCATAACTCAATCAGCTAACAGTCATTTATCAAACACTTCAATAAATTTATTGTGGGGAGAGGAGGAGAGCATGATGGGGGTTAATAAATGTGGGAGTAGAAGAAATTTACAGCAAGAGAAGGGTGTAGGGTGGGGTGGAAGGTAATGATGTGAAGATTGCGGTGTGGAGAGAGAGAGAGAGAAGGAGAATGGAAGTAATTAAAGATGAGATGAGAGGGGGGTGGGGACTGGGGGTGGGGGTTAGAGTCAAAGCAGCAGCGTAGCAGTAGCCGATATGGATCCAGTTTGGTATTTGTATGTGCGTTCAGTGCAGTGGTATATAATGGCCGTATAGTAATCATTTCGTCTCGTCTCGTCTCATCTGCATACTTGAGCTGAGCTGAAGAAGGGAATGGGGGTGGGATCGTATCGGATGCTCGTGATGGGAATATATTTCTATGCAGAGTATATGGAGAATGCATTATACCTTTTTGTACCCTAAATTCCTCACCACTTTTGGATTTATGAAACAACAACTACCTCAACTATAATCTCATCTATATACATCTATACATATATACATTCAAAATTTTCATGTCATATGGGAGGTTGTGAATTCTAGCTGAAAGCAGTATTGACTTCTTGTGCTTCATTAGGATGAAAAAGCAGTTATGAACAAATACTATATTGTAATAGAGTCAATAACTTTCAAAAAAAAAAAGAGTAAAAGTTTGTGTTAAACTATTAGACAGCTATCGTCAATACTCAATATAAAAATGTAGTAATACTTTTATAGTTTATTTAAAAGTATAACATTTTTTGTCAAAAGTATTACACTTAATAAATACTTTATTTTTTATTAGTACTACATTTTTTAATATAAATATTACTTTTTCATTTTAACTTACATATCTCATGGATAAATTCACAAGATAGTCACTCGATTTTTTAATTATGAAAATATATACTATACTTACTCATCCTTTAACAAAAGTTTTTTCATTTATTAATTTGTAGTTGATATATAGTAAAAATTATATCAAAACTCATAAAATTAACTAATTCATTAGTCTTGTTTAGATAATATATAATGCTCATCACATATTTTCTTGAATCATATGTTTGACAAAGATATACTCCGTATCATATTTAATTCGATGGGTCCTATGTTAAAGCTTGGGTTATAATCAAGTCATCCAGACTGACTTGACCATATCAAACAATGCTTGAGCCCCCTTGACTAGCCTACCACTGTCTCAATTATCAGTCGAATTTGAATCGTTCAAGTCTACACTTATTTAATCCAGCTAGCTAGTAGAACCATATAAGATTTAAAAGGATGACATTAGGGTGTAGTGTATGAAGTCTATCCACCGTTAGATTATTCTAATCTTTACAATACTTTTTTTTATTTTTAAAAATATAGCATACTATTCTATTATGGATATCATATATATTTATAATTTATAACTATTTTCTTTACATCGGTATATTTTTTTTAGCTCATTTTAAAATTATAATAAAAGTAAATTAAATTTATTATTAAATTTTAAGAAAGACAAACGAACCAACAAAAATAAAATTGTTAAAAAAGCTCCCAAAACCGAGTTTGCAATGCTTGCAAACACTAATGACTAATTTAATAAAAACTAAAAACAAATTATAATCTGGCATGATTGTTTCTTGCCATAACCAGTCTTTTTTTCTCAGAAATTTGTCGTTTCCTATTATCAACCATATAGTGGATTAGTGGCATAGTAGGACAAAAGTTAATTGGTTAATCAATAATAATTTAAAAAATTAATAACTTTGTTTCATTTTTTGAGGATGTATTTATTGACAAATTGTATTGTAGATCATAATCAACATTACAACGTGAAACATGAATAAATATTTATTTTTAATATACTGAATTATACAGAGTATTATTTATGTACTAAACGCTCATTATTTTGGTAGTATACTAAATAAGACCCTTCAGTAATCAAATAATGTATTTTTAAAAAATGAATTTTTCGAATCTTAAAAATGTAACTAATGTCCGTGGTCCACGGATGGTATACTGATTGGTGTTTACCTCCCCACACAAGCCCAAAGTAAGGGCAGTGAAGGTGCTTGATATTGATGAGTTGAACTTCATTTGTACTATTTCATGTGCAATATTTAATTAACGCTATTTGATTAAAGTTATTTACCATTTAAATAGTTATGATATTAAATATAATATTAATATATAAAATTTATATATTTAAAAATTATAATAAAAATATTACCCCGTATTGAAGGAAAAAAATAATAATTTTATACGGAATAATGATGAGAAAATGTTTTAAAATAGTTAGTTTAACAAATAAATAATAACACAATTGAAATGTGATGGATGAAGTAATAATTTTTTGTGGATATATAGTACAACTAGGCTACTAGTACAAATATATTCATTATTATGGTAGATTGGATAGACGTTAACAACATGTTTGGTTGGGAGAAAAATTATGGGAAAATAAATTGTAATTTTGTAGTAAAAGAATAAGGTGATAATAAAACATGAATTCAAATAGAACTATTGATAATTGAAACATTCCTAAGCTATAAATGAAACATTCCTAATAAGCTATAAGTGAAACATTCCCTCCACATAAGATTTTGAAGAGAATGTGATTTCCTTCCCTTTCTTAGGTTAAGTAAGATGTAAGATAATCTTGAATATTTATAAATTTTGTCATTTTAATTATAATTATTTAAAAATATATATTTTATGTTAGCTTATTATATATATATATATATATATATATATATATATATATATATATATATATATATATATATATATATATAGGTTTAAGTTCTAGTGTGGGTGGAGGTTTCCGTGCGATTGTGCGGGTGATTAATGTGCGCGAGTTTTGTACTTAATGTGCGTGAGTATTGTGTTAAAGATGTGTGATGTTTGTGCTTAATGTGCGTGAGTATATAATACTTAATGTGTGTGAGTTTTGTACTTAAGGTACGTGAGTCTTGTGCCTAATGTGCGTGAGTTTTGTGCTTAATGTGCGTGAGTGTGTACTTAATTAATGCGAGTTGTTGTGTGAGTTGTTGTTGAAACTTTAAAGTGCATTAGTTTTGTGCTTAAAGTGCGTGAGTGTGTACTTAATGTGAGTTGTTAAAATTTAAGGTGCGTATGTTTTTGTGCTTAAGGTGTGTGAGTGTCGTGTTTAAAGTGCGTGAGGGTTGTGCTTAAGGTGCATGAGTTTGTGTTTTGAACGTATTTTGTTTGTGTGTTTAATGTGCGTGTGTTGTGTACTTAAAGTGCACTAGTGTAATGCTTAATCTGCGTCTACCCGCACAATCATACGGGAAGTACCACCTTTACCTGATCCCTTCAATTTCCTCTCTCTCTCTCAGTCTCTCTCTCTCTCTCTATATATATATATATATATATATATATATATATATATAAAAGATAACATTAAACCATGATTATATTATATACCTTAATTTTAACTAACCATAAGAATTTAACATTTCGAGTTGGTGAAATAAACAGCCCTTAAATGTTTAAATTTGATTGGAGAAAAAAGAATGAATATAGAATGAAAGTAGATATAAAATTAGTTGGAAAAAAATAAAGGTTGTTTGACTAGGGCGAAGAATTGAAGAGACTCCTCATGACTCCGTCAGGCATCAAAATATGACATTCGATCCTGTGCCTGTGGTGTGCAGTACATGCATAGACTTTTTCCCTCCTCAGTCCTCAACTCAAATGAATTCCTTCTTCGCTTCAAAATTCCTACATACTACACATCATATCACTAGTCCACCTAGCTCTCTCTCTCTCTCTCTCGCACTCTATCTTCTGGAGTTGTGCCGGCCGGCGGCGATCCTGAAGGCTACCCTTCTCCTATAGTATTTGGAAGCTAGATATATAGCCAATATCCAATAATCCTCCTCACCTCACCTCCTATGAGGTTTGCGTCCTCTGATCCATCATTACGGACTACCACCTAGTATAGCTTGCAGGCTGGGCGGCATTTAAACCTCCTGGCTCCTACATATATATATATATATTTCCGACGACGCTAAGCGATTTCACAACATCGATTTCATTCCATCTTCTCTCTCATTAGGGCGGTTAGATCAGATCAGATCAGATATAGATCGAATTTATTTGTTTGGTGAGTACGTACGTAAACATCAGATCAGATCGATGGGAAGTTGCGGAAGGAGCAGCGGCGGAAGCGGCAGTGGAGTGAGGCAATACGTGAGGTCAAAGGTGCCTCGTCTCAGATGGACTCCTGATCTCCATAGCTGCTTTCTTCATGCCATTAACGCTCTTGGAGGCCAACACAGTCAGTTCTCTCTCTCTTTTATTTTATTATCATTAATAAATAAATTTGAATCTGCTGGCTGGTTGGCTGGGTTTTGATTATGTAATTAATTATTTATAATAATATATGCATGTATGATGATATATATATATATATATATATATATATATATATATATATATATATATATATAGAGGCTACACCAAAGCTTGTGCTGCAGCTCATGAATGTTCCAGACCTCACCATCTCTCATGTCAAAAGCCATCTTCAGGTACCTAGCTAGCTTCATTTCCCTTCTTTTATTTCTTTTACACTATTATGTAGTTTAATTTAATTTCCGATCGATCTCTTCTTTTTATTTAATTTATTTTGAAAACCGTACAGATGTACAGGAGCATGAAGCCTGATCTCAGCAACCAAGGTATGTATGATAATATATTATCCAGGCCTGGCCAGCTATTCAACGTACCGTACCCATGCATATTCAACTCCTACCTAGCTACTGTATTTTACAGCTAGCATATGTATGTAATATGTATGTATATAGTGAAAGTTTATGTTTTTTGTCACCTGTTCTTCTGTGCTTTAATTTGACTTTTTTTTTTTTTTTTTTTTTTTTTTACAACAAGTAGAAGAGGATAAAAACAGTGCGGAGGAGAAAACCAAACAACCCTTTGTCGACGTAGTCCGTACTGCTGCAGCAGCCCATGCCCGCCATGATTACCATCATTTATCGTCTTCTTCCCCTTCATCATCATCTTCTCTTGTGTTCCAGCTTAACCCTTGTCCTCTTCCCTCCAAAAGGTACTACATACTATACATACATTTATGATAATTTAATGGGCTGTATTAAATATGTATGTATTATTTATATGAGTAGAGGAGGGCGAACAGAGGAGAGTGCGAGTTGGGGTATGTCGTCGGAGAAGCACAAGGTTGGGAAGGGGCGAGAAAAAAGAAGAATAATTTGCGAGGAAGAATGTTGTTGTTTGTTCTGTGGGCTCAATAAGAATCCCCCCACCCCCTCCCCCTACTTTTGCAATGCTACACAGCCACCAGAATGTCCCAATCATAGCAGCAGCCTCAACGCTTTTTGCAACCTCCCCCCATTCATACCCACTCATCAAGAGCTTGACTTTTTCAAGGTACCCTTTCTCTCTCTCTCTCTCTCTCTCTAAATAGTTACGTTTTAACCACTCTAATCTCCCTCAAAACGGCCTTTAAGAAATGAAACAATAAATCTGATAAAGGGAAAGGAAGTGTCAAATCATATATGTAGAAATTGTGAGATGGTGAATAGGGAAAAGCAAAGGCATATATGGTGGAGTTTGCAGGAAGGAATTGAAGAGGGCAGGGAGTGAGAGTGATAGTGGAGCCAGCTAACTAGTTATGGCTTGCATAGTTGTGAATGAAATGAAATAATCCAAACGCTGCATTTAATGCGTTGGATGAGTAAATGTGGAAATTTTAATTACTTGTGTACAAATTAAATGGCCGGCCTGTCTTGGGGGCCGTCTCATCTGATTGGAGATCGAAGAGGATATTTTCACTCATCACCTGCTGCTTAATTAATTCGTTGGCAGTCCACACACTCTTCTTCTGCTCCCTTAGCTTAATTAGTAAAGCTACTACTACTATATCATATATACTACAGTGTTTGGTAAATAGACCCTACAGCTCTTAGCTAATTGAGTTATATTAGAGGGTTAGTTAATTGTAAAAAAATGTTTAATAAATTAACCGTTAACTATTAACTAATTACATATAAGATGATTTTTTAAAAAAACTGATCGAAAAAGACTACTTTGAATAGTTTTTTTAAATTTTAACATTTTTGAGCAATAAGTTATTATAAAAATCTAATTAATCAAACACTCATTTTGATTGTTTAACCAAATCAAATAGTTAATAGTGATCAAATAAACCAAAATTGATTGATAGGCTAACTATTTTATCAAACAAGGCCATAAATTTTAAGGTATAGAGAAATTCGTCATTATCTGAATGTGTGTAATAGGTAAATTTTGTATGTGTCCAAAAAGAGAATCGAACTTGTAACATTGTGGTTACTAAGTTATTAGACCAACTTGGTCGAAGTGGTCCCGAGCTACTCAACTTTGGTGAAGCATTAAATTTTCTAAAATTTCAACATTCAATTGGAAAAGGAGGAAATACATATCAGTAAGGATTGTGATGCTAAATACTACATGTAATCACATATATGGATGACATGCACAATCTTGTTTCTCTGCTGATCTCCAAGCTAATCTATCTTCGCGTACTCGTCGGACATGGACATGGCAGGTGGTTGAAGGTGGAGGAAAAGAAGAAAAATGGAAGACATCAAAGAAGCGCAAACGTGAAAGTGAGGAAGAGAAAGATGAAGAAGAAGGGTGCAGATTGTCATTGTCTCTCTCAATATTGCCTCCTCCATCTACTCAAACAAGTAACAATAATGCTTCTTCCACAAGTGAGATTAGTGAGGCTGCTGCAATCTCATCATGCTCTAACCCTAACCCTAACCCTAATTTTGGCTTGCTCCTCAAACCTCCCATCCTCAATCTTGATTTGTCTTTATGCATCGACTGACTGAATATATATTATATATATTCCATTTCAAACTTATTAGTTATTTGTATCCACATACATTTCAAAACGCACTGCATACAATGCATGCATGCTGTCCAATTTTAAAGCCGGGCCGCCGGGTAGTATACTCAATTATTCAACATAACTTTGTAATGTAATGGGACTAATTCTAGAATTAACTTGTAATGTTATGGAAAGCTTTATAATGCCCAATTTCATGTTACAGCACTTGTATCTATTTTTTCTATTATTCTTGGACGTCAATACCATATCTTAATTAATATCTTATGCTATGGTGTTTTAAAATTTACCTACAAAGTAATTATTATTGTTCATCACTGCCGCCACTTGTGAAACTTGATATATATTGTACATTTGTACTTCACTTTAATCTATTGTTGATTTTTTTTTTTTTTTTTTTTAAATTTGATTGTGTTTTACCTTCTTCAATCGTTTAATTATAAATAACCTTGTGGCCGTAATTTTGCACAGAGGAGGTCACGGCCATAGCTATGTTTCGAAGTGCAAAATCTGCAATAGTTTTGGTCATATTGCTTTACAATGCTATAGGAGGTATTCAGGGGTACCTAATAAGCAAGCACACATGATTTATTCCAACGATTTAGTTGTTGTATCGTTTTTTTAGAACTTGTTTTAAGACATTATTGGTGCCACCTATCATGCCACTTCAAATTCTTACTTGCTACGAGTAGAAGAATACACAGGGAATCACACTCTCCGAGCTAGTAATGACACAAGTTTGAATATTTTTAGTATTGGACAAACTTCTATTAGTTCTATATACCCTATCCTTCATGTGTCCTATAATAACAATTGTGTTGCATGTTTCTACCCTAACCAACTCTATCTTATCTGTCAAACGTTTCACCACTAATAATAATATCTTTTTCTTTATTATCATCTTGTTGTAAAAGATCTCAACTCCAACCAAATTATACTTAAAGGGAGAAAGCCCCCGGGAGGTGGGGGGTGGGAGAAAGAGAATTATACAAACTTCCAATACAAAATTCAATTGCATTCATTACATCCAAAGCACATTTAGAAGTTAGGCACAACCACTTTAGTCACGCTCACTGAAAAAGTCAAAAGGGTGTACACAATATACTACGTCAATGTCCAGTGTTAAAATCCTTAAATTAAATAAATAAGGTTCATTCTCTGACACTTCGCCACATGACTTGTGGCTTTATAGGTAACAAAGCATCGATCACATGTGTAGAAGATTCTAGGCCCAGCTATTACTCAAACTATGAAGAGCTCTAAATAGTGAACAATGATCGACTAAGAGTTCAATGTCCTATTGTACAATCAAGTTTAAAGAGAAGATTACTTTGACACTTTTAGTCTAGTGGTCAAACTAACTAACATAAGACTTCTCTTATCTCTTGCCATAACAAAAAACTTATTAATCCACTAATTGGATGTTCACAATGCCTGGCTCTCTATGTGTGAATGTTTTTACGAAGCAACAACCCATGGTACATACACAAAGATTTTCATAATCATGTTGGCAAACTATAGAGAAATTACTTTATAAAACTTGAAACAAGCACCTTGTGCGTGGTATATATATTTATTGAATTGTACAGATAAATGGAAATGAAAACCAGTGGAACAAATTAAAAGACATGCATAATTCTTAGTATGTATGTAGACGTAGTGATGATATATAGTGAGAATGTATGCATGCATTCACTCATAGGTCTGCATCGAGTTGCAGCACAAGAGGATGAGGTCCAAAAATGGCGGCCAGAGTATTACCCTTCCGCTGTGGAATCTGACTGATCATTTTGTGGTCTTCTTCACTAAGGCACCAATCAAATATTTGGAGGTTCTCTCTCATCCTCTCCTTGTTAAAGCTCTTAGTCACCAAGCTCACGCCTTGCTCATAAATCCACCGCAGTGACACCTGCGCAACACTTTTCCCTTTGGCTTTTGCAATCTGTGTTAGCACATCACACCCCATAACCCTATTGTCTCCCCATTTGGTGTTGTTTGCACCCAGGGGAGAAAATGCTGTCACATGAATTCCCTCTGCCTTGCAAAACTCCCTCAGCTTCTCTTGCTGCCATATTGGGTTCATCTCAACCTGACCAGGGAAATCAGCAGTTATTATTCGAGGGTCGTCACCCTAGTAGGCAAAGGATTAAAAGAAAGTAAACCAGCTTAGAGGTAACGAGGGAAATTCACAGTCACTAGCACTGGGTAAATCCGCCTTTTGACCCTAGACGGCACCCATAGCTGACTGGCTCAAACCGGTAAACCAATCTAGGTTGTCCAAGAGGACTGAGATTCAAACTCGTGACCTTATGGTTACAAGTTTGTATCCTTAATCGGGTTATCAAATCCCATTAAGTGACACTTACTTGATTGATAGCAGGGGGGATTTTGGCAACAGAAAGGAGATGTTGAAGCATTTTACAGGAGAAATTGCTGACTCCAATTCCCTTTGTCAGCCCAATCCTCTTGCACTCTTCCATCCCTTCCCACACACCCTTTATATCCAATGCCTCAATCTTCTCCTCTGAAACTGGCATACTTTCTACCATTTCCTTCAGTCTAACTGGTAGGTGTATCAGATACATGTCCACATTTTCTAAACCCAAATTCCTGCATTAATGAATATGCAACCAAAATATATAATTCAATCACTTCTCAATTCTTTTTTTTTTTTTTTTAAATGTCTACTTCCATTATGGGACGATGATTGTTTTATATTTAAATGGATTATTATTATTCAACCTAAATTAACCGAATTAATGAATGGTTTCCAGGCCAGACCATAATTGTTGACTCTAGGAAAAACAGAATATAGATGTTGACTATGCGCACTAGTAGACAGTTGACTATAAGAAAAATAGAGTTAATTATTGAAATGGTCCCTTCACTATAACAAAATAACAAATTTGGTCCTTGACTCTTTTTCTTTACCAATTACAGCCCTCAACTTTAAAAATCTTAATTAATTTCATCCTCCGTTTGTTTGTCGTTAGACATCTATTAACTCGAGATCAAATTGATAATTTTGCTAGTCAATGGACTATTTCGGTCATCACATGTACCATTTCCTTCGAAAAGTTAATTATCAAAATAGTCTTTTGACTATAGCGAAATTACCAATTTAGTTCTAAATTAACAGATATCTAATGGCAAAACTAAAAGATGACCAAATTGATTAAAAAATTTAAAATTGAGGGACTTAATTCATCAAAAATAGTTAAGAACCAAATTAATAATTTCGTAATAGTCAATATACCATTTTAGTAATTAACTCAAAAAAATATGTATCCAAAAGAATATACTCCGGAGTATTATTTTTTCTTCCAAATAAAAAATATATGGCACATAAATATCAAAGTATGGATAATAACTAAGATCTGTATTTTGACAATTTTTTTTTCCAATTAGATCGCTAAAAAGGTGTCCAAATTAAACATGCATATAGCGAATACAATATATAATTGTGGATATATAGGCTCAATGAAGGTTTGAAGGAATGAATATATATATGTGACAGTTTGACTCACTGGAGGCTCATTTTGCAGGCAGGAACAACTTGATCCGGATGAGCAAAGCTGGCCCACAGCTTAGTTGTGACGAAGAGGTCCTCGCGGCGGACCAGCCCCAGATTCACTGCTTCGGCGATTGCCTCCCCGAGCGGCTTCTCTGAGCCGTAAGCGAAGGCGGTGTCGAAGTGCCGGTATCCTGCCCTGATGGCTTCCACAATTGCGGCCTTGGTCGTCCCGGTGTCGGGCCGGGGATACGCACAGGTGCCCAACCCAATCACCGGCATCGCCTTCTCACAATCGGTCAAACTCGCCGTGGGAAACTCCATCGCCGGCCGTCTGGGAAAATTTATTTGAAGGCTTTCCTGTATTTATGCGCAGGTGAAGTTGTAGTGATGCCATTTTCTATTTGTTGAGTCAAGATAGTCTGCGTTTTTTTAAGGCTGCCTTTTTTTTTTAATCGTTGATAAAGAATTAAAGATAGTGGAGGTCATGTGCAAAGTCAAAGAAAATATTTAATATGTGCATACTTTGACATTTAGAAGGATTATGAGTGAACCATGTACTTAGATCAGTTTTGGATTTGATAAAAGGGTGTTGATATGATTTTTTCCTTTTTTAACTAAAGGTGTTACCTCACATGAAACACTAGATCCACTGATCTCATGTGATTTAAATCAAATAACGCATATGGATGTATGTATAGCCGCACAACACACACATATGTATTACTTTAATTTATATACAATATATATAATTTTAGAAGTATTTTTGTCATTATTGTATGTCATGCTTATGAAATGCATATTTAAATAACATGTTTAATTGTAAAATATTGAATATTATTTTAAGTTGGGAATGAATATATATATGCGTTATTTATTTAAATATTTTTTAATGTTTAATTTTTTTTTTATAACGTATTAACGGAGTAGAAATTCCCCGTGCCCCGAATAATACCCGTAGGGATAGGGATGTGGAGATTTGTCCCTTTCCCGACGGGAACGGTGAATGGGAAGAAAGTAGGGGGCGGGGATGGCCGATGGTAGGTATGTCCCCCGCCGCGTTGACATCCCTAGTTGGAGTAAGCAAATGAGATAAAAAAGAAAAAAAATTAAAATAAAATCTCATTCAACTATCTAGATAGCATGTGCACAAAATTGTACATATACAAAATTTTTCTCCTCTATTCTGACAATAAATCCAAAAAACTTATGAGATCTGGTAAGTCTTGATGAGAATTAACATGCACATTATTAGCGTCACATGTGATTGTTAAAACCATTTGAGTATCATCAAATGTCTCCCAATGGTTAGTGATTACGGTTTTCAACTCGCTTTTTGCCATGGTCTCTTTTTCTTGTTCTTTGATCGCTACTATCGACTTGTTAAGGTAATCATTGGCCAAGCTAGAAAGAGAAGGTGAAGGTCCATTTATGATATCCTCGAGCTCTCGAATGTCTTCTTCCGAGATTTGTTTCACTTTGGGACAATTTGATTCAGTGGTCAACCCATGTTCTATGCAAAACTCATAGTACAATGTGAGAGCTTCACCTTGTAGTGTTGCCTTTTGCACAATTTGATGTGCGATCTTGACATCAGTTTTTCCGACCATGTATATTCGTAGCAAAACTCTTGCGATTCCAATGCATATTTGATGATAAATATTGTATATCTCAACCATGATCATGTCCATGGCTTCCACAACAAGCGGCACATCTGCTATCTCCAAGTGGGGCTTTACTTGGAGCAAAAAATCAAGTAATCCTTGTAGATTTTGAAGCATGTTAAGGTCGTGTGAGATAGAGAAATGGGACAGTTTGTAATCCAACGACTTTGTTTTATAATTATCATCCTCTCGTGGATTTTGAAAAAGGATGATTGATTTGTGGTCTAGGAATGCAAAATAGGAACGCACAAATGCATTTAGGCACCATGCCTCCTCAAGGTCGCAATACCCATCTGTAAAACTAGAGAGGTTGAATGGCAGCCGTCCGACCATGTTTACATCCACAACGTTGAAGCACATAACACGGTGCATCAACATAAGCCCCTTAAGGGCCACCTCCCAACTCCTAGTTTTCTCCACTCGCAATGTAATAGCCCATACGATAGGCTTGAGATCATTTGGAGATAGATTTATCCATTCATATAATCTATCAACGTACCTTTTTTCAGTTGGACATTCATCGTGACGGGTGGCTTTGATAACTACAGCTTCAATTGCCGGATTTCGGGAGATGATTCTTCTAGTTAAGCTTGTCAAGAATATGCTATTTTGATCTTTAAGCACACCATAAGCCCATTTCCATAACGCCATTATCTAAGAATAAAGTCTGCGTACGTTATCGCGATTGTATGAAGAAAAAGGAGAAGCGTATAAACAAATGAATTGTTTAAAATGTGTTAGCTTCTCCCCTTTGGATACAATCTCTCCAAATGAGGAATGCTATGTTGAATTTCGAACAATAAATAGGTAATATTATTGACTAATTAAACGGCTCAGAGGAATTGCATTTCTATCCTTACATTTGTTCAAGGTTGAAATTTCATTGACATAACAATCTATGCTCTCTGCATCCTCCATGGCATGTGGACAAAGCTTCGCGGATAAAGTCAAACCATACAAAATTACAAATGATACAATTGCCCCAAATTTCAATAAATAAAATATTCAGGGTATAGAATGCAATAATAGAAACCTCGAAGGTCGAATTGAAATTAGAATATTAGATATCAAGATGCACTGTATCCGTGTATCACCTAACATTTACCCTCTGAGAATTCTGAAATATGAGTTATATTATATAGTTCTGATTATATTATTTCAGTTTTTTTTTTTTTGGTAATAAATGGAATGAAAATTACAAGAAAAAAAATGGATGTAGTAACATTCGGTGTAATCGTGGGAATAATTATACTCTTCTTCTGCGCCGTTTGTATAATCACAATTGAAGGCACCTGCAAAAACCGCTCTTAATTCCTCTGATTGTTTCAAATCCCAATTTAATGTTCTTCATCCACTTCCACATTAGCTCTCCCCACTCTAAATTCGCTTCCTAAAATTAGATTTTTTTTTGAGGGGTTCAAATTTAATTTTCCCAAGTGGCGAAGTCGTCTACTCCGCCGTACTCATCTTAGAAGGAGAAGCAGAAATGGCGGTTGCTCTAAGACAGATCTGCCCCGGTTTACTGTTTGTCTTACTGCTGATTTCTGGATTGTGTGTGTCGGCGGTCCACGGGCATTCTTCGCCGGAACAGTGTAGCCACGGACACGACCATCACCACGGCGATGCTGACCATGGACACGCGTCTACTCACCAGTGTAGCCACGGCCACGATCACGATCACCACCACCACCATAGCGGCGCTGAAGTGAATAAAAGGAAGCTGCTTCCTGAGGAATTGGCGGAAGAGGAAGATCTAAAGCTGTACGGATTTGGGACCCGCGATGAACACCACCACCACCATCATGACCACGGGCATGTTGATTCTGAGTTCTCTGGTCTTGGTAATTGAATTAATTTATTATTGTTATTATTATTTTTTTTTTTTGTAAATTTAATTTCAGTTCATAAAGTTAATTTCTTTGTTTATTATAGACTAGTATCTCTGTTAAGAGCTCGCCAGTGTCTTTATTACATTCGATTGATTCAAGTAGTAGTGCGGAGCTCATTATTGCAAAAGTTTGCATTTAATATAAGTTCATGCTTATTAAAATTATTAAGATAATAAAACTATTCTTGTGTAAGACTAAAAATATCAACACTAGTCTAATTAAAATTGAGCTTTGTAGACTCGGCTTTAGTGATCCCTAGGAGCATCTAAGCTCACCAATGCAAATCTCTTCCTATTGAAGCCTGAATCTCTTCTGCAAACTCCCTTTTGTATGCTGTCTGCAATACATTATTGTCATGCTAAATTTATGCTTTATCAACAAAAAATTTTCTGTTTACAACACATGTCCTCATGTAAGTCTATTCCAAAGGTAGACTAATTCAGATTCCTTTAAAGTGTCATTAGGCATGAGAAGTTTGCTATTGGCATCTCTTATAGCATTAAAAAAAAAAAAAAACAACTTACTGACTGACAAATTTTTGTGCCATCTTTACACTAGAGGTTGGATTCTATGCAAACCATAGTTCCTGCCTTGCTGGCAGTGTTATTATTTTAGTTATTTCCTGGTGATATATGCTATCAATTTGTTCTGTCTCGTGATCTTATTTATACTTGCATTCTGTATGCCATCATTTTATCTGCTTCATGCCGTGTTGATCACATTCTAACTGTTAGTTTTTGGCAACCTGGGACTGAACATGTGTATGTATGTATGCATGTCAGCTGTTTTAACCTTGCCTTTTTTTTGGTTGCTGGATGTATTGGGCAGGGCTTTGGCTTCATGCAATGAGTTGCTCTCTATTGGTGAGCTTGGCATCCCTTGTTTGCCTGATCATATTGCCTCTAATATTTTGTAAGTGGTTTATATGCCTTTTGGGTTTGTGTGTTTTGTTCTTGAATCTGGGTAGAGATTTGCTTCAGCTTGGTTAACACACAATTTTCTTAACTACAATTAGACTCTTGTTTTCTGCAGTGAAAGGAAGGCCATCCAAAGCCATTGTGGATGCTCTGGCATTATTTGGGGTTAGATACATGACTTCTCATATGGCTCTTTATTTTCTTTCAACAAAATTTTGGTTCCTGCGTTTTGGATGTCCGACTTATCTAATGGCTTCTTACCTGAGCCCATTAGCTGGGTCCATTATCTACTTTAATTGCTATTTTGGGTTCTGTTTTGTCTCTGACTTTTAGGTACAAATCTATGTAGTTGATAGAGAGTTACATTCCAAGTTTTCACACATTAGGTAATCAATTCTACAAAAGTTCATGCGAATTTTGTAAGCAAGGCTGCTGCAAGGAGAATGAGATGGCATGTTTGTGCTATGACACTGGTATAAGTGGATAGTAGTTTAAGAGGAAGAGAGAGGAAATGTAGAGTGCTTTGAAAGGTATGGTAGCAATAGTGGACAGTGACGAGGGAAGAGGAAGAGAAAGAGTGGTGGAAGTGATATGCGATGTGGTGGTGCAATCATTATGGTGGCAGAAAAGTGATGAAATGGTGACATGTAGGCTACAATGCAATTTACCGTATTTCTTGGGAGAGATTATGATGTAACTGTGCTTGATAGAAATGCTGTCTGTTCAAGTGGTGATATGAAGGCCTTCAATGATCTTAAAATAATAAAATATAAAACGGAGGATATATAATTTCTTGAACAAACTCTGTTACTAATTTCATAAATCTTGTATGTTGTGTTTAGAAGTTCTGAACTAGTATATAATTATTCGTCTGCCTTTCCTTTAGTTTTTCCAGTAGCTTGACCTGTGATGCTCTTAAAAGTGTTCTCATGCCTTTTCTTCTTCAATTATTATTTTGTTTGTTCTCATAATATGTAGTATGCCCCCTGCAGGCTGGAGCAATGTTGGGTGATGCTTTTCTTCATCAACTACCCCATGCTTTTGGTAAGATTTGGCAAAGGAATGGTGGTTGAATGGAAATAAAATCCGCATTCATTTTTGAATTGATCTTGTGATATCAATTCCACCCCCTTTTTTCTTATTAGTAAATCTTTGTAAGTAGCTCCAAGAATCCCCAGTCCATGAACTATTGCACGAAAGATGTTGATACTTCACTCCCAACAACAAAAATTATATTAGCATAAACAAAAGGGACACTAGTGAGTAGCGAGTAAATGGTGTTTTAAAGTCTCATATCTTCCCTATGTTTCTTACTTGCTGCCTGCCCTACCCCCAGAAACTCTACAACAATAAATTATATAAACATCTGTAGGATTTGGTAATTTTGTGAGGCATTACATTCTTTTTCAGGTGACAATCACTCTCATTCAGAAAGCCATGCGGTCCATTCTCATGATCATGACCATGTTGGACATTCACATTCTCATTCCTTGAAGGATCTTTCTGTTGGATTGTCCATATTGGGTAAGTTGTCATTAGGTTTCAAGCCTCTTTTTTGTGCATATATATATAATCAGCCTTTTTGCTTTTGACAATTTACAAAAAGAAGAATCTCATTTTGTGTATTGCATGCTAGAGCACTCAAGCATGCATACACTTGCATCTATTACATTATGTTGTTTTTTGTATTTACAAGGATAGTGTAATTAAATGAAAGCCCTAATTCTCATTTCTCAGCTGTCATCTTTCTATTTCTAGGAAGGAAAACAGTTTCTCCTATGCCCCATTTCCATTCCCCCAGCAGGCGCTGTCTCTCTCTCTCTCCTCTCTAAATTGATCCTGCATTCTGGGGGAAGGGGTACTGCAGCAGGTGTAGACCTGCACAAGGAAAACTAAATTTGGAAAGGAAGACTGAAAGAGCAATTGACAAAATCCTAATTTTCTCATAATCCTATATTCCTATTTTTTGTCATAATAGAATAGTTTAGTTAGACTAGAACTCATAGATAGTTAGCTTAGTCTCAGTCAGATTAGGAGTCATTGTATTAGCCTAGAGAAAACAGGGAGTTTGGGATCTCAACAAAAATCCCAGTGTTTCCTCTCCATCTTTATTTTCATTCAAACACATTTGCCTGTGACGAGAGCCTGGTTGTCCATATCACATTCCTGCTCTAGTCCTCTCACCTCTGACTAGTACACTATACATCCTCCAACAATACATCATCAGCTTTCCATGGCCTCTTTGGCAGTCATGCTGGGAATTTTTAATCTAACCTTGGACCTTAGTAAATTGGTACTTTTCTTATCCAATTGGTTTGCAGTGAAAGTTTTAATTTATTATGGAGTATTAATATTTTTTCCATATTTCATTTACTTTTCAGTTTTATAGACCTTAGTTTGAGGATGTTATTGGTGGAGTTTATTCTTTTGGACTTGCAAATAAGTTTGTTTGAAATTTGAGGTTAAAATTTGTAGAAGACTAAAAAGTTGTAATGAGCTTTCACTCAAACTTCCAAGTTCCAAGGCTTGGAATAATGGAGTGCAAGACTCAATCTGCTATATGTGTATCATAACTTTTGGTTTAAGTTATGGGAGAAGAATGCAATTATGATCTAAAATTGTAAAAATATTTTAATAGTACTTTTCTGGGTAGATTACATTCATATAGGGTTTGCTGCCCTGTTAACCATTTCAAATCTTATCATGATTTATACTCTGTACTTGTTTACTGCAGCTGGAATTGTGCTTTTTCTTATTGTTGAGAAGCTTGTGAGGTACGTTGAAGAATTGTCTGGAGGAGTTAATGCATGGGGTCATGGTCATCATCATCATCATCACAGTCACAGTAAGAAATTAAAGGATGATAACAATCCTGATAATGATCTTCAGGGCCTGACTCATGAGAAAACTGGAAGCTTACCAGAAAAGGAATCTGGTGGAAGTAAAATTGATGGTCAATCTGCTGAGATGCTTAATGGGGAGAAGGGCAGCAAAAACGCTGTTCTCAGGAAGGTAGAATGTTAGTTCTGAATGTCAATTATTTTTTGAAATTGATTTTTCTTGCTGTTCACTGTCCTTAATTTTTTTTTTATTCTGTATGTCAATTACTCTTGGTTTTATTATTGAGTGTCATGTTACACATACATCTTTTCACATTCTAATTTTGGATCTATTGATGTGCCTGCATTTCACAGAAGCAGATGTTCTACAATAAATGATCTATTCTTAGGGAACTTTTACAATGCCTCTTTCCAAAAATGAAAAAAAAAGTGAGGGTTTTTTGGTCATATCAATTGGGTTGAGAAAAAAGAAAAAAATAAGTAGCATGTGACAAAAATATCTCTTTTTGTGTGTGTGTGTGTGTGTGTGAAAAAGGCATTGTAGAAGCACCCTATGTTCCTCTGGTATTTGTTTTTGTATTGTCTCATATTCTGGCTCTTGCCCTTTTGCAGAGAAACAGTGGTGGTGATGATGGTAAACTTGAAACCAACGGAGAGGCTTTAAATTCATCCAAAGATAGTGCTAAATCCACCAAAGAAGGGCCTGCTAAATCACAGTCAAGCCTGGTGTTTGGTTATCTCAATCTCTTCTCTGATGGTGTTGTATGTATTCTTTAATTTTGGCAATGTATCTTCCTTTTGAGTCTTCTTTTTTTTTTCTTTATTATTGTTATTATCATATTATGTAAAGCTTATGTTTATGAAGATAATCCATAATCAACTTGAAGGTGCTGATAGATAACTGGATAAAATAAGATAAAATGTACTGTATAATAATACATGATCTTTGGCAAACATGAATAAAGTGAATCACTTTTTCTATGTTCCCAACAATCCAATTTAACAAAGCTCATGTTATTAACTGGATTAATTTCTACAAAATTTGTTTTTTGTTGCAGCATAATTTTACTGATGGGATGGCATTAGGTAGTGCTTTCCTGCTTTATGGATCAGTTGGTGGGTGGTCAAGAACATTGTTTCTGCTTGCTCATGAGCTTCCTCAGGAGGTCTTCTCTCTCTCTCTCTCTAACACACATTGATAAATAGATTCATTTAACTATTGCTGAATCTGGGTTTTGGCTATTCTAATGCAGATAGGTGACTTTGGAATCTTGGTGAGGTCTGGTTTCAGTGTTTCGAAAGCATTGTTTTTTAACTTCTTATCGGCACTAATGGCACTTGCAGGAACTGCACTGGTTCGTATTCTACCGTGTTTGATGACAAATTGTTCTTTTTTGCCTTGTGTACTTAAGAAAGTAATAAATATTTGATATTGTGTTTATAGGCCTTGGTGCTAGGACAAGATCCAGGGCAGTCATCATTGATTGAGGTAATCTTGGAGGTGGAGCTATGCTATTCATTCGAGATTAAAAATTACTCTGTAATTAATTGATGTTTGAATTTGTTGCAGGGATTCACAGCAGGTGGGTTTATTTACGTTGCAGTTGCGGGAGTGCTGGCAGAATCAAACAGCGGCAGCTCCTTATCCGTTAAGAGTACGGTGATTCAACTAATCTCTTTGTCGTTAGGCATGGCTGTGGCTCTTTCAATATCTCTTGTAGAATAGAATGATGCTATGATATGCTGTGTAGCACGTACGTCACGTCACGGTTGCATTAATGGCTTCTTTCTCCTATGCTCAATTTTCCAATACGAATTTGGTTGTCTGTACAATGTGCACTTCCTGGCTTATTATCGTGCTTACAGTCTTATTATATACAGTAGAATGAATACATAACATTGAAAGAAGGAACTTGTCCTTTGTCCATGTTACCTGTGTTCCAAATGATGGCGGCTTCTATATGATTAGTGATTACAAACAATTCTGACAATATGGAACATCTCTTACTTAGTCGATAAACCTTAACAATGATAAATTTATTATTATACTTTTAAATTTATTATTATACTTTTTATGCTTTGTTGTTTTACTTTTACCGCATTTTTTAAAAAAGGAATGTTTTTTTTTTTTTTGAATGCTACTAGCTCTATTACATTGTAGTATCTGTTCATGTTTTTAAAAAAGGAATGTATTTGGTTTAAAACCAAAAACTAAATACGGAGTCATAGAATAGATTAAGGAGATGTTTGGTAAATAATTGTTGACTAATAGCTGTTAGTTGATTAGGTTAGTGGTTTTAATTAGTTGATAGTACTGACCAATTGTAACAAAATGTTTGGTAAATTAACTATTAACTGATAATTTATCATATGCAAATGACTTTCTCAAAAAGCTGCTTTGAGCAGTTTTTTAAATTTTAACTTTTTAGAACTATAAGCTGTTACAAAAAGTTAATTAAGTCAAACAAGTAATAGTGATCAATAGTGATCAAGTAAGATAAAATTAACTAATAGACTAACTATTTTAAAAACATGTCTAATTCTCAAAAATAAAGTTGTTTCTTTGTTGTTGACTTAATTTCAAGTACCAATTTTGTTTAAAAGTGGAGTAATAATAATGCCCAAGTCGAGTCCCCAGACATTTTGTTTAAAGGTAAACCCCACTGGCCAGTGGCAGTATAGTATTGAAATCCCGAGGTGGGGTGGGACATAAAGAAGTCGTTTTCTGAAAGACATCAAATTGATGATGCCAGTATGCAACGACAAAATGTGATAGCTGTATCCACCCAATATCATACCATACAAACTTGTCTGTTCACTACAGGCTGGGAGTACAATCTTGAGAGCCCTACATACTACATAGATAGATAGATAGATAGATAGATAGATACAACCAGACACCTACTACACATCAATCAAAAGTCAAACCAATAACACAATTATATGTACATCCAAAAACCAAATCCTTAAATAACACATATTATGGTCGGTCAGTACTAAGTAGTAGTCTCCCATACTCAACATTTTTGCACTTTTAACTAATTCATATCCACACTAATCTCTCACTCAGTATACCACTTTCCTGCACTGCACTCCTGTTACCACTGTGTCTACAATCCCCTAAACATACCTCTTTCATATTCACAGGTTTCAGTACTTCCTTCCCAGTCATGTTGGCCTACTTACTGAGTGAATCCACAGCAAACCATAATTTGGTATCACCCTGCATACATATATATATATATATATTTGCAAGAATGTATAAGAAACTCAATTTTCGCTTCATAAGTATTACATGGTGGTGAGTTGCGGTTTCTAAAGGGGAAAATAAGACCATACCAGTTTAAATTCCATATTCAGGGTTGAAGTGGAGACTCTGGTTCAGAACCAGAAACGGATGAAAAAGACATCATATCCTCCTTTGCTATTGCCACAAAATTCAGAGGGGCAGTTGAAAGCCTTCTAGTTTCTCTGAAATACCCATTCTGTCGCCCAGAGTATGAGCGGGGTGTTAAAAGCTCGGGGGTTTGACAGCCAGCAGAATTCCGACGTGGTGAGGGGGTTACACATCCGTTAGTATGGAATCCATTTGTCTTCCTAAAGCTATTGCTTCTCCTTGGACTTGGTTTAGAACCATACCTCAATTCTTTTTCAGTGAGGAGCAGATCATGAAGTTTCTTTTGATCCTGCAAGCAAGAGAAAGATAACAGGAGAAACCTTCAGTTCAGTGCATCAAAATAGCAATTTTCATGTGGATATAATCCATATTTTTCTCCCTTTGACTCACACAAAGTGTTCATAAGATACGATAGAAGAAATTTTAAAGAAAAAAGTCGGCAAACATTACACGAGCACGCCTTTTCTCCTCTTCCTTTTGTAGCCGGGTCAATTTGTAATCTTCCAATACCGATACCAATCGTGCCTACAAGAATATTCAGATATGATCATTTAAAATTGCCATCCAAGAAAAAAAGAAATTTCTTAACAGCAGTAAAACTCACCCCGTCATAAAGAAACAACTTCTTCTTCTCATCTTCCCAAGCTAGTGTCTTGCTAATCAGACTGTCAACCATACCTGAAATGGAAGCAACTCAAGCACCCGACTGGGAAAAATAATCCTAATGGAAATAACAGGATAAATTACCTGGAATCTTATTTACACTAATTCGAGCTCGTTCTGCTCGCTTTAAGTTTATGTGAGCGCCTCTCCCACCACTGTAACGGTTTTTATCCTGATAAACACAAGGAGCTATTCAAACTTTCCATCATTAATGAAAAAAGCAGCTTAACATTGGCTTACAACAGAAAATAATACACTTTAGTCATCTTATGCAAACTAGAATTTCACAGCTTACTAGGTTATAATCTTCAAGCCAGTTTTCTTCCTCACAAGCAGAAAGCCATCGCTCAATCCTATCCATAATTTCTTTTCGGTTCAGAGCTTCATCCTTTGCTTTATTTATTTGTGCTTCAATGTTTGCCAAGAGCTCACAAGGATCCACGAGACCTGGTCCATCAAACATCGAACTTGTTTATTTGAAATGGAAGTTTGAGATTCATAAGAGGGTTATGACCCCAGAATAGGGAACGTACCAGAGTCTATCATTGCACATGATTTATCAGTAGCAGTGCTTGGATCAGGTTCAATATGGCTTTTACTGCATATATCCTCCAACTCTGACCTCCTCTTCATCACCAACTCTTTCATTCTGCTAGCCTTTAGTTTAGTGAGCCTCTCAACTTCCGATGAAACCTATATTGAACAAAAGAAAGGTATAATATAATCTAGTGCTTATATAATCTTTTCCAAGGCCAATGACCTTGTGGTCTAGTGGCGCACCAAGTTGCTATCCCATATGGGAGGTTATGGGTTTGAGCCTCAGTGGAGGCAATATTGACTCTTTGTGCTTCAGTAGGTTGAGAAAGTAGTTATGAACAGATACTGCATAGTAACAGAGTCAGTAGTACTCAAAAAAATAATCTTTTCCAAAAACTTTTGATCCTTTGATCAGTCTTGCAGTTTTTTAAATCACATAATGTATACTAGTAAACATTTGATTTTGCAGTTGTATGGAGATAATACACTTGAGTCCTAAGTCTCAAATTTTATGGTTAGAATTCTGTTCAGGGACACAGTTCAATGTGAGGGGGTTATAATTAGTTTGAGATGATGAACTGAAAGAAGGGGAAATAATTGCTTATAGAAAAACGGGAAAAGGAAAAAGGATATAGAGGAGGTTGAGATGCTTGCAAACCTGTTGAATGATCTCCGATGAAAGAGCACCAGATTCCTTGATCTCTTGTTCAGGAAAACCAAGAACGGAGGTGATCCTTAAAAAGTAAGTCTTCTCTTCTCTCGGTGTATCCATCAAGTTCCAGAGTTCAGTTAGTGAACCAGAAACATCTTTTAGCTACATTGGCAAAATAGAAAAATTTAGTAATTAATATACACACAAAGCCACAAAGGGAAAGTAAATGAAGCAACCAATGGAAAACAGTACCTTCTGGAGACGAACTTTCCGTTCTGTTTTCAACCTGATAATAGTCTGCTCTAAGCCCTCTAACGTGCTATTGCTGATATTTGTAGATTGCCCGAGTCTTGTATCATGTAAGCTTGGATGCACATCACTCACAGTTTGACCAAAATCCACCCCAAGAATAGCACACAACGTGTGCACCTCATTTACAAACTCTAACACTTTCTGGATGCGCTCAGACTGTAAAAATGACGGAAATTTGCAATCACTAATTATTTTCTTTAGGAAACTAGGACCTCAAGGGCACACAAAAATTCAAAAATCAAGTATGAACAGAAAACTTAAAAAGGATGTTACTTGATACCTTTTCCTTCTGGAGAGCATGAAGGCGGGATTGGTGCTCTGAGAGCCTTCTCAATGACAAGTCATTTTCTTCCAGATTCAAGGAATTCACAGCATTGATTATATGACCATATCCAGAAATTTCACTAGTTATCTTCTCAATTTGTGTCTTTATATCTGTGAATTGCTTTAGCCTTTCCTCTTTCTTTACTTTCAAATCTTGAACCAGTGGTGTGATTAAAGCTAGTTGCTCCTTCAATGGCATTGTCATCTTGTCTGAGTGGATCTGATAACAATCCACAACTCGTGACATACAGATTATACTGACATTGGGAGTACAAAAATAATTGCAGGGGGCAACAAACAAAAGATAAAGAAAGGGAGATGCATATATTAAATGAAGCGATCATTATATATCAAGGGAGAAGGGACAAACTTGAGATATCTTACCGGCGAGTTAATACTGAGTTCACCAAGAGTTGCCATTAGTGTTGCAAGCTCTGCTTCTTTTGCTGCAAGAGATTGGTGAAGGCGTGATTTGGCATTAGCAGTTTCATCAACCTTTCTTCTGTAAACTTGTAAGCATTCTCTCTCCAGCTCCACCAACATTTTGTCTTTTTCTGCCTCATTCTCACCAATGTCAGTCCATAATTGCTGCTTATTAGGAAAAAAACAATGAATTAGCGTGGTGGTTAATAAACTATCATACCTTTACTCTGCCAGAAGGAAATGATTGGTACACATAGAAAGTAGACATCACAGTAAACCAAGACATGAAATTGGAAGAGGAAGCTCTCAGACACATAATGAATACCATACTAATATGCTCATTTTTAAGCTTTTTAAGTTCCCAAGTACAACATATTTCTCACCCAACATGGTAATTCTTTGAATCAGTTGTGAAATACAGTGAAGTTTGATTAAACAGAACAGTGCTGACTGCTGAGAAAATTTAAAAAAATAAATAAATAAAGGATACCCCAACTCAAGAAATCTTTCATGACAAGAACTTTTGAAATTAAAGAACAAAGGAAGCATACCCAACTCAGGAAATTTTCCATACTTGGGAGAAAATTGAAGCAAGAAAGAAATGGCAAGTAGCAAAATTTAAGAAAATATTACAATAAATTTCAGGTATACAAAGAATCAAGAAGAA